GTTCAGCTCCTCTGAAACAATCCATAGAGTCTGTGACCTAAAAGCTGCAGAGAGACTTTTCCTTCTGTTGAAGCAAGACTCTCCTGTGAGGTTGTCCACACACACCAGTCCAGGTACCAGCCAGGCCCCTAAACAAGAGGAATACCTGTACACATGTTATGTTTGTATCTTCAGTAAAGCTATTTTTGCTCATTCCTAGCTAAAGCGGCGTCTGTGCTGCAGTCCAGACTGTTGGGTGACAGGTGTCAGTGGATCAGTGCTGTGAGGACATGGAGCCGCCTGCAGGGGGAGCTGGCGGCAAGCAGAAACGCAGTCACAGCGAGCACTACCCAGGGGGACAGAGAGAAGGGGAGAGGGTGTGAAAAGCAAAGTGATGAGAGGCTGAAGTGTCTCCAAGAGTCCAAGAAGCGCAGACATGAGTTTACATCTGAGGAGAGCGATGAGAAGAGACGGAGAGGTAGAGAAGAGAGTGCAAGGCTCTCACCGGACCTGGAGAAAGCGGATGATGTCAGTGAACCGAAGAAGGTGTGTGCTGATTATTCAAAAATCGAACTGGAGCAAAACGTGGAAAGCTGCAGGAAGAACACAGATGACCTGGGAAAAGACGCTCCTCTGGGAAGCGTGGAGAATGGTACGAATGCATCGCTTTGTCAGATCACAGCTACAAAGTGATGACTTCTGGGTAATGAGAAACAAACCATACTTGCTCTTTTTCTCCCCAGTTTCTTTTAGGATTAACTGTAAATGCAGTGGAAAGCTGCATAGATGCATCAGTGCACAGGTAAAAAAAAAATAAAAATCCTTCTTAGTGAGATTTTTATTTTTTGTATTTTATTCGTGGATTAAAACAGTACAGTATATGTAGTCTGGCTGTGACCTAGAGGGGGTGGGGGATCACTGATACAGTAAATATCACTAAAATAATATATCATTGAATATAATAATATTGATATCCAATATCTGCACCAGTATGTCAAATGAAGCTGTGATTTTTTTTATGGTTCCTAAATGAAAGGTGTCTCTATGAGGTGATGATGATGTTGCTATTTTATGATCTGTAGGAGGTTAGCAGAGTGATGGGGATGGGTCTGAGTCGTCTGCTTGGATGGAAGGCTGACCTGAAGAACCCTAAGCTGGAGGTGAACCTTGTTGTTTTCTGCACAGCTATTGTGTACATTTAACTAGTAATATTTCCTGCAAATGGGTCGTTTCTGCAGATAAACGTCTATCTGAATGATGATTACTGCCTGCTGGGAATTCCACTGACCAGGTTGTTGCCAAATACTGTTTTGATAGATTTAGAATCTGCTTAATCGGAATTATTAATAACAATAGACTGAATTTTAATTGTTTCTTACTGTTTTGATATCTGACCGTCTTTTAATTTCTTTCAGGCTTCCTCTGGCTAACCGGAGTTACCTTAAAACCCCGGGGCTGCGGTCTACCGTAGCCTGGGCCATGGCTTCGCTGGCTCTCATAGAGGTGTGAAGACACACACCTCGAAGGAACGGTCACTACTGTTCACTGTTCTTTCCACTTACGGATAATAGCTCAAACCCATAGACTCATATTTGTCAAAGAGTTTGTTTCCGATCTGTTCTTGAAATCAAACCAAATCATAGTTAATCACAGTTAGTTAATTATTTAAGGAGGATTCGGTTTGATTTTTGAAGGTCCAGGTTGATCTCAATGGCTCTTTTTCCATATAATGAGAAAAATTAGCGTTAATATGCACAAGTGAGAAGGTTGCGGGATGCAAAAGCAAGTTTTGTTGGCTTTGTTGGTTTTAACAAACATAATTATGTAATGCTGATGGTAAGCTGCTGTTGTACTCTTTAAAAGTGTCGCGTCTCTATCTCAGCCAGGTTCTTGTGTAGTCGACCCAATGTGCGGAGTGGGAACCATCTTAATCGAAGCTGCAAAGGAGCACAAGGTGAGAACACCAGCCTGTTTAAATAGAAGATAAAACCTCTGATAGATGTTTGTTTCTTCTGGGTTTGGCTTGGTTTGTGCCAGTTCAAAGAAATCTGTCTGATCAGTTAGCAATAAATTGTAGCTAAAACAAAACAAGGTCTTGTAATAACTGTTGAAATGACGACTGTCTGCCACTTGGTTCCTAAGGCTGCCTGTTTCTTGGGTGTGGATATTGATGATGGCCAGCTACAGAAGGCGGATGAGAATGTGCTATTTGCAGAGCTTCAAAGCAGAGTGCACCTTCTGAAAGCGTCGTCCACGGGTAGGAAAATCACCAGAATATCCCAGTGAATGAAACGTCACACCTCTCACATGCCATGTAAGCCGGACTTGCCCACCATTGTGACAGAATTGACATGAATGTGACTCGGATACTGCAGCAGCTAAAAATAACATCGGTTACTCTCATGCACTGGGGAAATGCTTTTACCCGCCTCGGCATTGTGGATTCTTGAAATAATGATGCCTGACCTACCGTCTGATTTCTGGGTAATAATTATCTTTCTGTTTGGGGGAAAAAATGGAAAAAAGATAGAAATATAATGAAAAATTAACACACCCAGTCATGGTGCAGCAGAACGCTGTGAATTTCACCACATTATCATTGGTATGCATACATTTCTAGACAGAATCTCCATAAGTTTCTCATGTTTAGATGCTTTTATCATTTGTCTTGTAATATATCAATATGCATGGCAAGATACAATAGTGTGATCCTGCTTAAAGTCTTAGTATCCAGAGAGACAACAGGAGTACTTTAGAGATGGAGCAATTCTAACAGTTTAGAGGTCAGTGGGGACGTTCTTTTGGTAAAGAATCTTTGATTATGTAGACAAATGTATGAATGAGCAAACATAGACTCAAAAAAAGATTATTTTAAAAATACACATAGTCTGTGATTTTCCACAACATGAGGCGTTAAAAATCTAGTAAAATCTTCCAGTTTGACTAATTCAGTTTGGAAGTAGCTAACTGGCAAAATAATTTCTATTAAAAAAGCACTCAGCTTAATTTTTTTTTGTATATAAAAATGTTAAGTTAAAACAACAACTTTGATTTGGGTCTTTCTTGATCAATAAATTAAGAAATAACATAATTCTGGTCAAGTAATGCGTAAAGATTGTCATTGTTTTGTCATCTACGGAGCATCTTTTAGAATTTGAACTTGTCCTTCGTTTCTGGACGTAGCTGTGTCTCCTGTATGGGAATTTTTGTCTAGAGGTGAAGTGTGTTTCCTGTTTCGTGTATGTAATTGCCTCACTGCCCATTTTTCTTCTTTTTTTTCTTTGTGTGAACAGCGTTGCCTCTGCCCAGTGCCAGTGTTGACGCCGTTGTCTGTGATTTGCCATTTGGCAGGAAGTTTAGCACCAGAATAAATATGGCCGAGAACCTTCCGGTCATCCTCAGTGAGATGGAGAGGTTTGTTTTCTTTGTTAGTAAAACGATTTTGGTGAATATAAAAGAAAAAAAAAGGTTTTTCTTTTTTGTTTTACATTTTGTAGTTTTGTGTTACGTAGAATTCCTTGCATGTGAGTCACGTAACGCTCTTTAAAACATTTGATGTTGCAATCAGATTTAAGTAAACATGGAAAGACGAGGTTTAAGTTGCCATTAATTCCAGATGTGTTTGTTTTTCCTAGAGTGCTCCGTGTTGGTGGGACCCTGGTGGTGCTCCTGAGTCCTCAGCTGTCTTGCCTCCTGAAGAAACTTCTATTGCAAACAAACTGTGGTCCAAAACGCAACGAGGAAGCAGAGTCTCAAACAGGGATGAAAAGCTGCCTGGTTTCATCCTCAGAGCAGCACAATTTGCAAGTCACATCCTCATCCTCCCAGGAAGCATCGACTTTTTCATCTCTGAGACACCAAGCAACCCTCAGAGTTAGCTTGGGGGTGATAGATGGACTCATCCATAAATATATCAAAACACTTGATTAGTGTCAATGGAAATTACATTTGTGACATTGCAATGTCCTGTGTCATATCATGGCAAAATTTGCTCTCGTTGAAATGCTGCATTTTCATATCATGGCTGTATAAATAAAAGTTACTACTTGTTTAAATAGTTTTGAATTTCACAAATGCAGGAACGTTAAAAGTTGGACTCCAAGCTCTGTTTCAGTGTGCTTTTATTTTATCATTTAATACTTCTGAAAAAATTAATCTTTTACAAAATAAAAATATTTGTAGTTTTCTAAAAAATGACTGTGCAGTGTTTGTACTGTTTGTTCTCTTATTTTATTTATTTATTTTATTTAAAAACTAACATGAATCAGTGCTTTTAGATATTTTTTCTTAAAAAAATTCTAGAGACCAGAAGTTAAGTTTGGCAAAGAATAATTTGGATAACTTTCTTTTTTTTTTCTTCTGCAGCTTATATGATTATACAGTGTAGAAAGAGGGAGTACAAAGTGAAAATCCTGATAACTTTTTTTTTTAATTTTTCAAAGTATTGAAGACATTTTTATGTGTTGTGTTTCTAGATCTTTGCCAATTTATAAAATTGCAAAATACTGTGTTCCTTCTTTAAAGAAAAATACTCTACACTATTTTTTTTATTTATTCTTTTTACTATTACATATGGTGCATTCGAACATCGTCAAATTGGAATTGGGCTCACTTTAATATTGAACTTTGTTTTCTCTAAGAACAACGATGAAACTGGAAAGTTTTTGGTGGCGTAACTGAGGCACATTTCTGCCATCTGCCACTAAGAAGCCCTGCTTAGCCCAGTTTTACACTTGCGGCGCCAGATCAGGCAACACACAGCTTAGTGATTTAATTCATTTCTTTTTCCCCTTCGCTTCAGGCTGTCAATTAACAGAATAAATAACAGAATTAAATACAAGGAAGTTATCTTTCTTCTTTGCATGAACTGAATATATGCTAAATGTAAAAAAAAAAATTATTCTGAATTTCCTAAAAGTTTAATTTCTACATTTTGTCAAAGGTACAGTGTCATTTTTGCTCTTCAAGCTCATCACCCTCATCTCCTTTGACAAACATGGACAGGGTATGCCAGGATATCCATTGCGCATGCTCGAAGCGCAGTGGAAGCCATGTTGGAGCTACATTGGATTCGGGCTGGGATTTTTTGACGCCGTATGTTTTTCTTAAAAGAAAACCAGTTTTCGTACTTTTGTCGGGGTTCGTCAGCCGCGCGCGATTGTAAACGATGAACTCCAGTGTCGACCTGTCCAGGCGGAATCCGCAGGAGGATTTTGAGCTGATCCAGCGGATAGGAAGCGGCACATACGGAGATGTATACAAGGTACAAAAAAAAACTGCAGGGAGGGAGCATTGAACTGAGATCCATTATCGGACACAGCCTTCAGACGTTATGTACACTTTTTCTTCCTTCCGTTGGTAACTCTATGTAGCACTAAGCAAGTCTTTTAGTCACGAGTTATTTGTTTCCCTTAGGACGTTAAGAGCATGTTTTTGTTTAAACTACTACAGGTGGGGAATTTTTCTCAGCTATTCGTCTCCATGATTCCATTGTCGGACACAAGCTTACGTCTTGTTTATATGTGTGCTCTGTTTTTGTTCTTTTTGTTCCACAATTTTCCAACAGTATGAAATTTTTAGGTTGGCATACAGTTTTCTTTTAAAAGCAAAACAACCACACGCCCTGACAAGACAGAATTAATCATGCTAGCTGTAATGGTGGTTGTTTACTTCTTGGTGGGACGTTTTTAGCTAGCTGTCCGACAACGGGTGCAGGTAACCTTAATAGCATACAGAAGCTAGCCAGGAGCTTGGCTGTTCCGTCGAAACATTATTCAAATAGCTTTTGATATTTCTCTTTTTTTATTTCTTCAAACACGAACCCTTTGTTTTAACCGTAACATGGCATAAATGTTGTTTGGTTTTACCCTGACAGGAACTGACAGCTCTCCGCTTGGCCAAGTTTTTTTTTTTTTTTTTTTTTTTTTTTTGCCAAAGTCTGTGCCTATGAAGCTATATTTATTTGTGTTTACTGATGGTTTTGACATATATACGTTTGCTAGACACATCCAGGAACTTGGGAGCTAATTTCTGTTTGGACTGTATTCCCAGTAGTGCTGGGGCTGTTTAGTTTGGGGCTTGACTTTTTCCAGGCCCTGCGTTGGAAGCAGTCTGGGATTCAAACTGGAATTCAGTTCCGGAGCAGATTCCTAAGACGCCATGGAGTAGACTCCATCAAAACCACATCAACGCGCTCGAGACTCGACAAGTTGTGGTAGCAGTTGTATAAAACAATCTAGTACCATACCATAGAAGAAGTGTTTGGCCCAAATCTACATGATCTCTTATGGGAATTCTGCCAGAAACGGCAAATAAATGCAGTCATGCAGAATAAAGTTGGTGCACCTCCATGTTTTTGACGCTTACTGCAGTCAGACACCATATCATCCTTGTAACTGGAAAATCAATCGAAGTGTACTACGAATTCAAACTAGAAACTAAAATGATTTATTTTAGAGACACCATGATAACTCCAGAGTGTGTAATTCGACAGATCAGCTCTGATAAGAGATTGGCTGCTCAGATAAACAAAGTCTCTTCATTTTAAAATCGCTTGCGTAGAATGCAATCAGATGCAGCAAAACTACAAACACTTCTGGGTCTGACCTTGTGACAACTGACAAATGAAACCTCAACCCTTTAGTCACCAGTGGCTGAATAAAGGTCTGGTCTGTGCATTCGCCACTATTTCTAATTTTGAATGATTTCAGTCATTCCGATTTGCACAGACAAGCAGCAGATTTCTAGCTGCTTGTTTTGTATTCCTTCACCCTTGTGGTTTTTAATTTGTCAGTCATGGCAGAGTGAGGCATTTGGCTGACTATATATATTCAGGGAACTTCTTGACAGAACAAGATGATGTTGGTATATATGCTGCAGGCTCTCTGATGTTGGAAATTGGAATATTTTTCAGTTCAGCTTTTATCAATGTCTTGCGTGTAACCTCACCATAAGGTCAGTATGTCATTCTCTAGGGTTTGTTTTGCATATTGTAAGCTGCCCCGTTGCAGCTAATCTTGTTTGTTTCTAATTAAAGTTCAGTATCTTTGCCTCGCTTGAGGCTGATAAGTCTGACTGAATACCTTCAGCGGGAGTCGGGATTGTGTCTGGGGGCCGAGATGCCTGCCAAACACAGTGACAAACACCTAGGGCTGCAACTAATCAATTATTCTATCGATTATTCAGACGTTTAGTCGATTAATCAGATTTGAAAAATGCCGCATTTAGCAGATTTTTCGTCAAACCAGTTAAACCTTTTTTTTAACAGGATGCAAATAAACAAAGAATTCCTTTTTTTAAATAAGAAAATAAACCTTTTATTGCCTAAAATTCAGTAACACAGCATTCCTTTACTGTATGTTTCATCGTTTGTTGATTTAATTTTTGCATGAACTGATAAGTGAATATCAAAAAGTGCTCTTGTTATTTTGTTTTGTTACAGAATTTGAACCATTTGAAGCTAAAACTATGCTACTTAAGGAGTTCTGGGTAAAACATATTTACAGACAAAGATTTTGTTTTATTTTTTTTATCTTAAGTAGGGCTGTGTAGTAATATCGATTTTGCGATGTATATTGATATTTTCTTTCCTAGAAAAAAAATGATATTCATCCACAAGTATCGTAACATCCAACTGTCACCTTGCTCACTCACTGCTTGCTTCGCCGGGAGAGTGATTAGGTCATCAGGCTTAGAGTGATTCCTTCAGATGTTAAGTGTCAAGGTTAAAATGTATCAAACTATTCAGAGCAGGGTACTTGGTGCACTTTATTTACTTTATAAATGCATGTAAGCTACAGTTTGTACTGTTTCAATTAAAAAAAACATTTTTTCCCGCCACTTCTTTGATTCATTTTGTCCAGCTGTCGACTTTAAGTCTGTATCCATGTCCAACCAGAGCCAGGTATTGTGTAGTTGGTGCAGGTATTGTGTAGTTGGTGCTTTTAATCAGTTTTCAGTTAAATTAATTCAGTCCAACTCTATAACAGTCACAAAATGTCACCAAAATCACTCTGTCCCTCTAAAATCTTTCAGAAAATTGCAAAAGTGTATTGAATTGCATTGTTTGCTGAATATCGCAATATATATCGTATCGTGAGATGAATATCGTGTATCGTATCCTGAGATTATTGTATCACTACAGCCCTAATCTTAAGTACAAAATGTCTATTATTTTTGTACAGCTTTGACATAATTACTGCACTGAATAGTTCGTACAGCAAATTGCCTTTTTCTGAGTCTGTATGTTAACAATTAGTCAGTTACTAAATTAGTTGACGATTATTGTTCAATAATTGATTAATCAAGAGTAATCGATTTATCAGATTAATCATAATAAATCTGATTAATCATTCCAGCCCTACAAACATCACACAGCAGATTAATGATCGGAAAATAGTTAATTGAGTCAAAAATAATAACAACAAAGCAATTATCTCAGAAAGTCCATTGTTGAGACTTGTTATGTTGCCTGGACTCTGCTGATGTTATGCCTGGCATGCCTTGGGTTCACGTTGAAAACAAATGGTTTTTGCTGCAGATCAGCGCTCCAACCTGAAACTGTTGGATTAAAGGATGTGCTGCGAGCACCGGGCCATTTTGGTAAGCCTCGTCGATGCCTATATTTGGTTCTACCACTGCGTGAAAAAGTGAGGCTCGGGTAGGAATGTTTGAGCAGGAAACAAAGCATGAACTCCGCTAGCTTGTTTTCTCCTCGGTTCGTAGCCAGGCCTCTCCTTCTGTGCTAGTGACTGAGGAGGGGGCGATTGGCCGATGCAGGCGACAGGCCAGCATATCACATCTTTGATCCTCTGAAGAATTTGCCCTTAGGGAACCAGTCGTGCCTAATTCATATGCTTCTTTCAGTGTTAGCGGTTTTTTTTTCTTTCTTCTTTTAAACACTGGTTTTATTTGACCTGTAAAACTATAGAGGCTGTGGATTTCAGTCAGGTGACTGATTTTCCAATACTGCTCAGTCATTAAATTAGTGCTACGTATAAGCCTAAAAACTCAGTAGACTTAAACTACAGTAAATTACGCACCTCTTGTCTTTAGACTTCAAGTTGTTGTCACCCACATATGTCACTTACCGATGACATTCCAGACGGTCAGTGTCTGTTTTTGACAGATATTTTTCCCAATGCAGAAATTCCACAAACCTTCTTTTAAGTTTCTCACCAAGTATGATACAAAACTAAGTTGCCTATAGTCTTAATTAAGCTACAGTCTTGCTTCTGATTATGGCTGCAACTACCAATTACTGTATTTTAGCAATCGATTATGGTACTCTGACAATTTTCTCTACTTCACGACCAGCCAAGCAGCTTGCTTTGAACGTCATAAACTTTAACAATTGGCGTTTCAGCTCCAAACTACTCAGCTTTTCACCTGAAAGCCATCTGGGATTATTCAAGCACAGTGGGTGCTGCAGTTGGCATGAATTGTAAAAATCTTTGAAAAGGATGACAAATATTCAAAAATGTCATGCTCAAAACATCTGCAGCGAAAAGTTCTATTCCCAATTTTAGTAATCTGCAATGTGAGTGTGGTCCACTGTTTTTTTTTTTTTTTTTTACCACAATAACTGAAGTTTGCTGCATTAAATCAGTGACACGAAGATAAAAACCCGACAGTGATGAGCCTGTCGTTCAGTCGCTGCTGTTAAAGCTGCCGTATTTACTGATTTGTCACTTTTATTTGGCTGGAGGAGAGAAACTGCTTTTTCACTTTGCATTCCCACATTCTCACTCGGAGTGCCTGAAAAACAGCTTAAATAAGGACAAGTATCAGCTTGACGTGTTGCTGTGAATCCATGATAACTTGCTTCAGTGGCGTTGCTTTTATATCTGCCTTTACTTGTTGTGCCGCAGAAGACTTGAGATCAAGTATTTACCTCCATGCTGAAGCTGTCTTCAACCTCTGTATGTCGCAGGTTCAGAGATGGGAAGCAAGGTGGTGATCAATTAAAAAGTTTGTTCTAGAAGCAATGTGCGTTCAAGAAAAGCATCTATCTTAGTTTATTTTGCAGGAGCCACATTCTAATCCTTGCTGAGTCATGCTTACTCCATGGCTAGCCCTTTAGAAATCTCATCCAGTCTACATGATCAATGATGGCATGCAGCAACCTGTTGCGGTTGCAAAAAATACCCTTCAAATCCTATTAAAACTCTACGAGCAAAATTTAAGATTGGGCTGGCTTTGTTTTTCGAAATCTGTCTTGTCATGTAAGTAACAATTATTGAAACTTTGTTTTTTTGGGCTTTC